GCTCGGCGCACGCGTAGGACGCGGGCAAGTTGTCAGAGGCCGTCCTTCGTCGGAAGATTGAAATGCCGACGTCAACCCTCGACCCCCTAGCCCTATGTGAAAGGCAGGTGAACGCCAACGATGCAGAGCACACTGTCAGGGCCCCGTAGAGCCGGACACGCTAGACCCGGACACCCAACATCCCTCGAAATCAATTTTTACAAACGGCGGCACGAACAAAATACTGCACTGCAGCATTTCCAATAAGCCCGGACACGAGCCTCAAAAGCTCGCAAGACCCCCCTAAACCCGGACACAATCCCGAATCCGGCAGCGCAGCAAACGAAACATGCACGGGTGCTGAAAAACGTGACTTTGCAGGAAAGGATGTCGTTTCCTTGGTTTTCCGTGTCCTGGTTTATCAGTGTCCTGGTCTCCGGGGGCCTGACACTGATGCAACCTTTTGGGCCCGGCTCTGGAGATCACCCCGGAGACCCGCGCGTCGACGGCGCGCGTGGCCGACGCCTTCACCCCTGCAGGCCTGAAGATTAACGCGGGCCCCATCCAGAACGACGCCGCTCATCGATTTTCATGGGCACGGGGCCGTGACCGCCCGAGAGCAAATCCGGATCGACGGGGGCGGGGCCGCGTCGGCCCCCCCAACATCGACGTGTCCAGGATTGCCCCTGGTGGCCGCGCATTCGTTTAAACGTGGTGGTGGTGGTGGGGGGTCGAACAAACAAGATTTGGCCCCGTGGCTGGCCTAACGAGCGGCGGCTACGGCGCCGTCGCTCCAGGCTTTGCGGCGAGCAGTTTTCGCCAACGCCCAACCCCATCGAGATCGTGAGATGCAGCTCTCGGGTGTTCTGACCAAGGCAGGCAAACTCTATCACGCGGCCACGCGGCCGCAGCCCACTTCCGCCAATCACCAGAGGCACAGGGCGGCAATCATCCGGATTAACCGTGCGGTGGGCATGCCGGCCTGCAGCAACGACGCAGAGTCGGACCATTTTGCATTGGCGGCTGAACAACGATGCGGCGTCGATGTTCTCCTGCGTTCGCATCGGCGTCGGTGTCCTGGTAGGCTGCGTCGGCATGCGCCCCCGGCCCTTCTCGGTCTCACCGGGGACGCTGCGGACGCCAAGCAGCCATTTCCCAAGTTGATTCTTGTTGACCTCGGATGAGTTCCGCACTGAAGCTCCGGAGCGCCGAGGGCATCTGGGCCCTTTCTCTGAGTTCGGGGTTTGGGGGAAGGAGATTCTGGGAAAAAGATGGGCTGGCACAAGACGCTCTGGCGTCACCGCCCGCATTCGATGACTGCGCAGGGCCCGAGATGCCCAACAACGGACGACTCGGAGTCATTTCCAGCATGCGGCGAGCATTGGCGTGCCAGCTGACGCGGGAACTTGCTCCTGCCCTGCGTCGCTGCCCATCTTGCCCGTTCGTGACGAGCAATCAGGTGTCTATCCAGAACCAGTGCCCGCCAAAATCATCAGCGGCGCGCAGTGACGGTGAGACGTGCGCATGGTATCACTTGCCCGATTCGTTTGGCAAGGCTAAGCACAGTTGAGCTCACGGTCGGCCACATGGCCTACCGAAGCCCCAACTGGTACCTGTCCGCCCTCGTCCACCTGACCCAGCGCCTGAGGTTCTGGAGGAGGTCCGAGCCCTGCAGGAGAGACGGCTGGCCCGCAGAAGGGGGCCATGCGAAGGGGAGCCTGGCGCTACTCCTTTCGGGTTCCTGGTCCTCGGAATGCCCCTTAAGAGATATGCCTTGGAGTACTCGGAAGCTTGGGAAGTTCTCAGGGCGATGACCCACCAGTCCAAGCGCTCTCCTGGCCCCGACATCGAGGCCCAGGAGGGGCCCCTGCCGATCAGCATCTGGTCGAGCCTTTTGACAGGGGCGAGCTGCTGAGCCTTGCCCACGGCCGCCTCAGCATACAACGCTCGCCTTCTTACACCTGCTCTCAAGAGCTAGGCGAGTAGGGGGCGTGCAAAACGAGTGTGACAGGGTCCTTGTTTCAGGGCCTGTGACTGTCATTACGGTTTCGTGTGATTTGGCGTGCGATCCTATGATCATCGCTGGACAAATGGGAAACGCTCCTTCGATCGAGGGCGCGCTCTTTTATCGAATGGCCGCCGTGCGGGACATGGGCGGCAGCTCGGTGGCAGGGGCCGGGAGCTGCTGATAAGTATCGTCCTCCGCACCTTGAAGCAATTTCGGGGGCGACAAGCATAAGCAACTTGCAATGGGCCCGAGCTCCTCCAGGCGATCCGGCGGAAGCGGGAGCAGGCCCGCTTCCGCCGCGCGCTGAAGCGTGCCGTGCCAGCTTCCTGCACCTTCAGCGTCTGTGTCATGCTGGGCACGCGGCGTCGCAAATCGGCCGTTGGCCCTGTTGACCGACTGGGTGCCGTCGTTCCCCCAGGTCTGCCCACTGTCTGGATCTTGTTCAACTCCTTGTCCAAGCACGTCGTCATGTGTAGCAGACTCGGGTCTAGGCCCATGGTCTTCGACTCCCCGAGAGATCAGCCGTGGCGACGCTGCTTCCAGGATGCCGCGGGAGAATTCAGATGCAAGAAAGAGGACTTGGGCTCTCCCGCCTATTGCCACATGTCGCCCGAACCTGTTTTGCAGTTTGGGGCTTTCAGCCTGCCCGCTCCCCCTCTGGGTCTCCCCCTTTGCCCCCCTGTGCCGCTGGCCTGAATGGGCGATCGCCTGCATGCATTTTTGTGGTACGCGCGGAACGCACAGTGCGTGCCGACTGGTGCTGTGCGTAGCCTCCTTCGGTTCCCTTCTGGCAAGACTGGCACATGCGGAGCGCCCGATGCCCGCACCCAGTCGCAGGCCCGCAAGCCTCTCAACGAGGCCCTCCATGCGGCGGAACACGCCCCCCAGCTGCGAGCCAGAGGCCGCGCCACTGCTCCCCTCTGGGGCGCTCTGCGTCCCCGTCCGCCCGCCCCCGCCGTGCTCGACCGAGCACATGCGCACGCGAAGCGGCTCCAGCATGCAGGTCAGTCTCTCCTCGAGGCTCGTCATCAGCGGCTGCGCGATCTTCTCGACAGCATGCGGGACGGCCGATGACGTCGTCTCAAAGGCCACCGCGGGGACGGAAGGTGACCACTCCTGAGTGCAAGAGGCGGCGTGGCCAGGCAGCGACAGAAAGATCCCCGCACGGGTCGAGACGCTCGTCCGAGCGCATTCTAGCGAGCGCCTCAGTCGTCCAGCTCGGTCTTGACTCCTTGGAAGCCTGTTACGGACCCAGCAGCAGCATCGGCAGGATATTCATCGCTCGGAAGGCCAACGCTCGGAGTTTCCACCTCTTCGCAAAGACCACTGCCATACTCATGCACCCAACATCCACGAGGCGGGGCCATCATGCCATCAGCTTATGCCACACCCGCTTGGGGTTCACAGCCGCGTGGCGCCGACGCGCTATCAGTTTCTATCCCAGCTACGATGGGTTCTCGGCCGCTCGGCGCGGCCATGCCTTGATCTTCAACCCCAGCAACGTTGGGCCCATCAGCCATTAACCGTCAGCCATCAGCGCGCCTATGTCTACACCGTGCGGCCGCGAGTGGAGGAGGAGGAGGAGGAGGAGGAGGAGGAGGAGGAGGAGGAGGGCGGGGAGGAGTGAAAGTCGCCTGAGGAGGGCGAGGGTGCAGGAGGAGGAGGACGAGGACGAGGAGCACGGACAGGAGCAGACCCCGGCTGCGCTGCAAGCTCTCCCCCCTCCCCAGCCCGGGCAGACGCCCCGCTCCACGGCAGCGGCCCCCCGAAGCACCTGGCGGCCCACGGGCCTGCCTGCCGCTCGGGGCTAGGGGCCGAGCCGCGGCAGGGAGCCGCCCGTGAGGAACACGCTCGGACCGGAGGGCAGAGCGGGCGTCCAGCGGGAGCCCTCGTGCTGAAGAGAGGGGGCCGCCCTCCATCCGTGTAGCGCTGCATCACCAGTGCACGTTGGTCGGAAGAAGTGGATAGATACATGAAGTAGGAAGGCGGATCAAGTGGATTGGGTCCAGGCCCTCCCAGAGAACAAAACACTGCAAAATCAGGTCGATTCTTGAAGTAGGAAGGCGCTTGAAGTAGATTGGGATCTGGGAATCAAAAAATACCTACTCTCAACGACCGGCGTGTAAGGTGTCGCCGTGCAGGTTGTAGGTGCGCCAAGCGCGAGCCCGAGCTTCCCAGGAAGCCGCCCTCCATCCTTGCAACGGCTGCAGAGGTGCGCATCTCGAGTCGTACAGTGCACATGCGTGCCGCACGGGAGCCACATGTCGTATAGAAGACTCGCCCACAAGATTGCGGCTGCTACAAGTTGTTACATCCCAGGTCCAGATATGCGAGGACGTCTACAGCGACGTCCCCAGCTTAGGGCGGAGCTGCCCTCCATCCCCGTGACAACTGGGAGCTTCTTCTAGGGCACGTGAGGGCGGCGCTGCGGCGAGAGCAGCGTCTCCAAAACGACCCGACCCGCCCTCCCGCACTGTGGCTCGAGCGCGCGCGGCGCGGAAACGAAAACCAGATGTTGAAAACGGCCCGTCCTCCATCCGTTTAGCGGGTAGAGCAATTTTAGGCAAGGGTGCGCTGCGATGAGGCGCGAAAACACATGTTGAAAACGACCCGCCCTCCATCCGAGTGCGTGGCTGTAGGAATGCAAATCTTCGGGAGCAGAAATGATGAGGATGCCGTGGGCGACACACCAGGACAGCCCTACTGGGATGTCTTATGGAGCGACGAGGAAGCTCTCTTCACAAGGAAGAGGGGTGGATGGGAAAGAAAGAGAAGGCAGAAGGAGGAGAGGGGATACTGGAGGAGAGGGGGGGCAGAGGATGAGGATGAGGATTGGCAAGAGGGATGGATAGGAAGGCCGAGGTGGGGAGGAAGAGGGAGGAGGAGGAGGAGGAGGAGGAGGAGGAGGAGGAGGAGGAGGAGGAGGAGGGCAGGACGAGACGGACCGGGGATGGCAAATGGAGGACGAGGCGGAGAAGGACGGAGGGAGATGCTGGCTTGACTGGGCCCGGGCGTCCCCCAGCTGGCCGTAGGCGTTGTAGCCCGCGGCGTGCACGGCCCCCGAGGCCGTCAGGAAGAGGGAATGCGAGCCTCCCGCCTGCCGCTGGGGAGGCAGCAGACCCGAGTCTCGGGTCGGGCGAAAGGAGGGGATAGCAAAGGGGGGGGGGTGAAAATCAGCTCGCGTAGCTGATTTTCCCGGCGCCTCCCGGCGCCGGAGGCGGCCATGTATCGAGGAATGGGCCCCTCGGTGAGGCCGAAACCAGCTGCATGCAGCAAATTTCGTAACCCCCCCTTTCCTAATCCCCCCCTTTCGCCCGGCCCGAGAGTCGTGGAAACTCGAGTTTGTCTGACCTGGCCGTCAAGAACATCGAACATTGCGGGGCCTCGTCTGAAAGTTGGCGCGAGCGCCCGCTGCACGCATCTCACGCAAGCTGGTCTGTCAAGGTTCACGCGCGACGCAAGGGGCCGCCCAGAAAGCGGAGGCAAACCCAGGTCTCGGCAAATTCGAGTCTTACGTTTCCCCCTGGCTCCTTGTGGCGAGGAAGAGTGTGCTTGTGTGGTCCGAAGGCCTCCCCTCAAGTAGTAGCCGATAGAATAGTACGCTGATGTGCATAGCGGAGTACTGCAACGCTGGAACTCGAGACCCCATACACCGAGCAATGCTAATGCGTTATTCGATTCAAGATTTGCGCCCAAACGAAGCGACTCGCAAATATGCTACACATCTTTCAGCGATAGTCGGACAGACTAGCGACCCAGATCAAAAGGTGCATCATGAGTACAAGCGTTCTGTGCCCACAAATAGTCTACCGTGTGCCATGTTTGCTCTCTCAGATGGATGCATCAAGACGTGATTGACAGTGTTCCAATGGACGCATTCATCATCGAACGGTATATAAAATGCTCCCTGCAAGCTGGACGTGGAACGAGTTGCAACATCGTGCAGGGAAATATTGGCGAACATCAGGAGGAGGATGCTGAGAAATATGATTAGTGGCAGAGAGAGGGGTGCCGAATAATGTAAAGCTGGGAGCCTTTTCCGAGATCCCCGTGGTCAGTCAGATAGGCGGGCACTGATTTCTCTCAATAACTCTAAACCCCGATCCCCGATTAAACAAAACCAGCGTCGCGCATTAGATGACGACTGGAGCCATCGACCCCCTATCATCAGGCGATATGATTCGACTCGAGCCGATCCGTGCGGGCCCCTGGGGCCCGAGACGGAGCCACAGCAGCGCGTCTGACGTGTCTGAAGGGGCCCTGGGACACACAAGTAAATACACACAAATAAACATATGCCCCATACTTTCCAATATTTTATGGGTTTTTGTCTTCCCGCCCAATTCCCACATTTTCCTATATTTTCCTGGGAATCGACGATGAATAGTGTCTGTGTTTTTTCCCCTCCTGAGTGTCTTTCACGACGCTCGGGTCTGAGGAAAAAGCCGGGCGGGATCACATCAGGCAGCTTGGGCCACTGCAGGCACACGCCACATCTCTCTTTGGCTGGTGGTTGCGCTGTGGCAGCACGAGGAGACAAGAGAACAAGGAGGAACCGATGGTCGGAGATGCGCGGACCCGGGGCGGCGCTAACCAAGGTCAGCCAGGGCCACGTCGTGAACGTGGGGCTGGCCATGCAGTAGCTCCAGACCCTGACCAGCGGAGGGAGGGTAGGGTTCAGGTCGGGCATGTCCGCGGTCGGGGACAAAGACTTCCAAACTGGCCCAACAGAAAGCAGCAATAGTCAAAGGCGTGCGAAAGCATGGTCACCGGACTATTTGAGTGCACTGTTCTTGCATACTCCTCCTGTAGAGGGACATGCCCGACTTCAGGGTAGGGGGCTCTCGGGTCGGGCGAAAGTGGGGGATAACAAAGGGGGGGGGGAGAATCAGCTCACGTAGCTGATTTTCCTGGCGCCTCCCGCCGCCGGAGGCGGCCATGTATCGAGGAATGGGCCCCTCGGTGGGGCCGAAACCAGCTGCATGCAGCAAATTTCGTACCCCCCCCCCTTCCCAATCCCCCCCTTCGTCCGGCCCGAGGCTCGGCCCCGCATGGCTCCCACGCCCTGGGCCGGCCAGAGAGAGAGCCGCACGGCACGGGCGGCCAGCCCCGTCGGGGCTGCAGCCCCCGCCGCACCCTGCGCGCAGACCCGCTCCGCCCGGAGGCCTCCCGGGCCTCCTGCGCGGAGGCGGAGGCCCCCCTCCCTCGCCGGCTGGCTGGCGCGGCCCGCCTCCACGGCCTGCACCGCAGACATCACCTCCAGCGGCCGCCGCCGGCCCTCCGTGGAGCCGGTCCCCAGCTGGCCGTAGTCGTTGTCGCCCGTGGCGAGCGCCCGGCCGTCGCGCGTCAGCACGAGGGAGTGGTAGTACCCCGCGGTCACCGCCTCCGCTGGCCGGCGGGGGCGGCGCGGCATCTTCCGGTGGCTTGCCCTCCTGCTCCTCTGCCGCCTCCTCCAGCTCCTGCCGCAGCGCACGCACACACCTCATCCTCCCAGTCCTCTAGCCGCTCCAAATTCAGCCTCAGCTCCTCCTCCTCCTCCTCCTCATCCTCCTCCTTCTTCTCCTCTTTCTCCTCCTCGACCAACTCGTCCTCCTCCTCCTCCTCCTCCTCCTCCTCCTCCTCCTGCTCCTCCTCCTCCTCCTCCTGCCTCCTCCTCCACCTCCTCCTCCTCTAGCTCCTCCTCCCCTCCTCCTCCGCCTCCTCCTACTCCTCCTCCTCCTAGCTCCTCCTACTCCTCCTCCTAGCTCCTCCTGCTCCGCTCCTCCTCCTCCTCCTCCTCCTCCTCCTCCTCCTCCTCCTCCTCCTCCTCCTAGCTCCTCCTCCTTCTCCTGGGGGATCTCCCCCACTGGGCAGGGGTCGCGCCCCCAGCGCCCCCCTGGCGCAGGCGCGGGGCGCGCCAGGCCTCGGGCGAGCAGGCCCCCCCGGGCCCCGCGCGGACCGCCACCGCGCGGCCCCTGCCCACGAGGGGCGCCCCCGCCGCCCCGCAGTCACCCATGAGATGTGCGAGGCGGGCATTTACCCATATCCACCGCCTGGGAACCGACATTTTGGTGCCCCAGCGGGCGGTGGATATGGATATATTTCGGCCCCCGGGAGCCCGAATATGTCCATATACACCGCCTGCCGAGGCTCCGAAAACTGACCCTCCAGGCGGTGGATATGGATAAATTCCCGCCTCGGAGGATGTGCGGGCTCTCCTTCAGGGGAGACTCTGGAGACTGTTTTTTCTAGGGTCCGGCGATAAGCCGGGTCATCGGGCTTGCCCCCCTCCCCCCCCCCTCCCAGGATAACCGAACTTTTCCGGTTGTGCAGGTCCGGGGTGGGTGGGGGGCGCAGGCATATGCAGGGCTGCCCCCAGCGCGAAGGTTAATCTATCGGCCGGCCCCCTCCCCCCCCCGATAACCCGGGCTATCGCCAGGCTCAAAAAACGGCCGGCCCCCTCTCCCCCCCTCCCCCGGATAACCCGGGTTATCGCCGATTCAAAAAAAATCTCCTGGGAGCCTCCAGGGGCGTCTCCAGAAGACCCCCCGAGGGGGGGGAGCAGCCCCGCGCCCGAGGTCACCCGCATGGGTGTGGGCGCCGCCGCCGCTGCCGCTGCTGTTCCTTTCCTCGGCGGCCCTTCCCGCCCCCGCCGCGCTGGGAGGAGGGCGAGGATGAGGGGCAGGAGGACGAGGACGACGAGGAGGACGAGGAAGAGGAGGGGGAGGAGGAGGAGGAGGAGGAGGAGGAGGAGGCCAAGTGCAAACCCAAGGCTCATCAACGATGTTGGAATAAACTCTCCCTCCAAGCTCCCTCTGCATGGGCCCCATGCAATGGTTCATTTCCACTCAGGGAAGTGACCCGTTAGGAGACAACCGCTGGAAGATCCTGAGGCTTGCCAAAACAACATTCTCGAACTTCAACGCCACGAATCATCTTGACTGCTGCGTCTTGGCGGTCCCGAATCGTGTCAGAACGCCGTTCCTAGGACGCCAACACCACGAATTAACGTAACTGGTGCGCCCTGGCAGTCCTGAATCGCTCCAAAACATTGCTTCTGCAACGCTAGCCATGGGAGCCAGTGACACCCTTGCAACTTCTTACAACGAATGCGCGCAGCGCTAAAGCGAGAGCCACATGTTGAAAAGGAGCCGCCCTCAATCCGTGAAGCTCTTGCAACAAAAAATGCGCGCCCCTAAAACGAGAACCGCGATTTCAAAACGACCCGCAGTCAACCCGTGAAACTCTTGCAAATTTGGCAGACGAATGCGCGCGGCTCTAAATCGAGAATGGTACTTTGAAAACCGCCCGCCCTCAATGCGTTACACTTTTGCAGATGTGTCAGACGAATGTGGGCAGCGCTAAGGCGAGAGCCACATTTTGGAAGCGGTCCGCCCTCCATCTGTGGAACTGATGGCAATTTGTATGCGTCAGGAACATAGATGGTGAGGAGGTCTCAGGCGAAACGCCTGGCCCGTGCTCCCGACTGGTTTCGGGATGCATAAGGAAAAAGCTGCATGCACGCAAAATGCGCTCACCCGGCCCACCCTCAGGATCAGGGCCCTAGGAGTGCAGAGGCCGAACCGCTACCTATGAAGATGCGCAGAGCGCTAGATGTAAAAGAGCTACAACATTGAAGAGATGTCCGTCGCCCTGGTTTATCATCCTCCTTCCGTTCCCCTCCCTCGTTCTGCACCTTCTCCTCACTCGTTCTCCTGCTCCTCTGCATGCTCCCCTCCTCTTCCTCCGCCTCCCACAGGCCTCCATCAGAGGCGCTTGCGTCGTGTCTGTATGTGTGTATTTGTATACTGTGCCGTGATGAAAGTTCGTGGATCTTGCAGAGGGTCGGTCGATGCGCGTCCGGCGTGCGAGCGCGGATGGTGCGTCGTCCCGTTAGGGACAAGGGACAAGGAGCCTGTTACAATGTGAACGGGGGGCGGTGGAGAGGAAGGGGGGGGCAAGGGTTGGAACGGGGTTTGGACCCTCAATGAAATTTAAAAGGTAAAAATGCGATGACTCTTCCAAATCGCAGAACCGCGTAGGACTTCCTCGCCAAAATGGCCTCCTCGACGTTTCCAAAGCAGTTCAATCCATAGAAGTCGGTTTCAAACAATTGGAAAAACGAGCGTGTCGCTTTGGACTCTCTCGAGAGCAGGATTTGGAACCTGGTTCCAAGCAATGGGATGGCGTTTCCACATCGCAGAGTCGCGTACGACTTCCGCGACAAAATGGCCTTCTTGACAGTTACAAAGCGGTTCCAAACAGTAGAAGTCGGTTCCAAACTGCCGGAAGAAAAAAAAACGCGCCTTTCGTTTGGGCTTCCTCGAAGACAAGATTTGGGACCTGGCTCCAAACAGATTGCGCAGGGGGGCCACCTGGGGCCAGGGTAGCCGGTCTGAAGAATTTGTGTTTTAGAAGGGGGAGATTATCGTTCGTTGTTGGACTCAGGTAGTACTGGTTCTATGTGCAGCCACTGCCACAGCACAACGAAAGCGAGGGAAACGCCAACTGATACCACAACGGCCTTTCAGCACATCATAGCCGTCAGCGCCGCGACGGCAAACAAACACACAAGCCTTAATCACGCCCATGTCTATATGTATATGGATCGCTCTCCCTCGCTCACTCGCTCGCTCTCTCTCTCTCTCTCTCTCTCTTTGTTTCTCTCCCCTCCCAAGCCTGCTCCGAGACTGAGTGTGTGTGTGTGTGTTCCTGCTGTTCTTTCCTGCTAGTATTATCATTATTATTGATATTATCCTCCTCCTCCGTCTGCTGCTGCTGCTGCTGCTGCTGCTGCTGCTGCTGCTGCTGTTCATCCCCATCCTCCTCCTCCAGCTCCTCCCCTCTCTTCTGTAGCCTCCTCCTCCTCAGCTTCCCTCTCCTGCTCCTCACTTTTCCTCGTTTTCCTCCCCCTCCTCCTCCGAGGTCCTCCACCTCCCCCTCCCCTCCCCTCCTCCTCCTCCTCGCCCACCCCCTCCCCCTCCCCTCCTCCTCCCCTCGCCCACCCTCTCCTCCTCCTCCTCCTCCTCCTCCTCCTCCTCCTCCTCCTCCTCCTCCTCCTCCTCCCCTCCTCCTCCCCTCCTCCTCCCCCTCCTCCTCGCCCACCCTCTCCTGCTCCTCGCCTCCGCCTTCCCCCCCCGCGCCCCCGCCCTCGATCGACCTCCCTGCCCGAATATCCGCCCCGCGACCTGCACGCCGCTCAGCATCCGCACGGGCCGCTGCCGCTTGAGGCTCCTGTTGTCCGCTAGCTGGCCATACAGGTTGTGCCCGCAGCCGTACACCTCTCCAGACTCCTCCAGGGAGGCCCGGCGCCAGACGGGGAGGAGAAGGGGGAGGGGAGGAGGAGCGAGGGCGAGAGGGGAAGGGGAGGGGGAGGAGGGAGATGAGGCGCAGCCGGTTCGAACCCGTAGCAGGGGAGGGAGAGGAGGGAGGGGAAGGAGGAGGGGGGAGGGAGAGTAGCGGAGGACGAGGAGGAGAGGAGCAGGAAGCGGAAGGAAATAGGCGAGGGGGGTGGAAATGGAGGGTGAGGGGAGGGGGACGAAAAACCAGGCAACCGACGGACTGCTTTTGCTCAATCCGCGGACCCCAGACATTTCTCGGCCCCCTCCCACGGTCAATGGGGGACTGCTGTCTCGGATCTACCTTGAGCTCCGTGGATCGAGAACGGCCGCTGGAAGCCAAAATGGGAGAACCGTCGGCGAAAAAGCCGCGGATGCCTCCGGAAAGCGACCCAACATCGGGAGCGGCCAAGAGGGGGGTGTCCAAGAGGGGGCGGCGCACGTCATGACCGGCGGCATGTGCGCGGCCCAGCGGGGGGGCCAGGGACGTGATGAAATAAGCAGAGGCGCCATGACATCTGGGGAAATATCATGGCCCCCGCCATGATATCCCCCCCCCCCTAGTCATCACCCCCCTCCTTTCCACCCCCGACGACAGACGCCCCTGCGCCTCCGCCCCGACGGCCGGATCCTTCAGGAACAGGCTGTGGGAGTAGCCGGCCCCGACCGAGACCACGGGGTCGGCCGCGGCCTGCCCGCTCCCCCCCCCTCCTAAGGAGTTGCGAGAACGGCGCGCCCCATGCACCGCGCCGTGCGCGGAGCTCCATTGCGGCCCCGCTCGAACGCGGTGCTCTGTGTCCCTCACTAGCTCTGCCCCCCCCGGGACTTCAGTCTCTCCCCCGGACTGCGAGTCCCCCCCCCCAGACTACAGGTACCCCCCCATCCTGGACTGCAGGTCCCCCCCCCATCCTGGATTACAGGTGCCCCTCCAGAGCTGCAGGTGCCCCCTGGGGCTACAGGAACCGCGTAGCACCACGCGCGCGTTGACGCATGAACTCGCGCCCCCTGGACTGCAGGGACCCTCCCCCGGACGACATGTACCCCCCCACACTACAGCTACAGGTACTCCACCCCTGACTGCAGGTCCCCCCCCCCATACTACAGATACCCATCCCCCGGACGACTGCTGCCCTCCCCAGGCTACAAGTACCCCCAGAACTGTTGAGGGACACAGCGTACGGCGCATAGCTTGACGTTTCTGAGGGCTCGAACTGGCCATCGCTCGGACGTCCATTCCCCGTGTTTTTGTTCGGTTTCGTGCGTGGCTTTTTCGCCAAATGACCAAAGATGCTCCTCGATGGTCATCGCCGAAGAAAAAATGCACACGTCCGAGCGATGTCAAGCGAAGACTATGCACCGTGCCGTTCCTGGGGCGAGGCTCGACGACGCCTCGGGAGACGCCAACACGGCACGGGGCACACATGCTGTCCGCGGAGGAGGGGGATGACGGCCGGGCACCGCTTGCGAGACCACGCGCCGCGCAACTTTCGGGGACGGACAGCACCCCATTTGGTAAAACGCGGTTTAGTGATATTACCAGCCTCGAACGTATACCTATCCCTAAGATTGGCACGCCAAAAGGCGATGACAATCTTAGGGATTCGCCATAAAAAAGGGAATCCATAAGATTGGCATCGTGATCAGGAGGTGCCCAGCATAGGGATAGGGATATGTTCCAGGCTGGTAATGATAGCGACCTCGGGCCCACACCTGGCGGGCGCAAGCCTGGAAAATGACGGCCGCGGCGCCCTCTCGAGAACCGAAAGCGGACAACTCACTCATCGACGTGTCAGGGTGGAGGTTCTGTCCACCCGCGAAGCTTCTGGGGCCCAGACCTCCGGAGTCTTGAAAGTACCAGACTCGCTGTGGCAGTGCAACTGCGGTGCTCCGGGGCCCAACTTCTCAACCCAGAGACCGCCAACGACATCCAGGATGAGGATCAGGCCCTGGCGGAATGGGACGGGGCCTCTGGGCATCCCGCGCTACAGCAACTCACGACCGTCCAGGGTCTAGAGACTCCATGCGCGGATCGCCTTCAAGAAGATGCGCGCTGATCGTTAGTGGCTTCTGGCCCCAGAACCGACATGCGGAACGAATGGCCTTGGTAACACCGAGACAATCCTCATGTGCAGCCTCACCAAGAGTAATCTGCAATGCCGGAGATGTGCAAACGAAAAGCAGAACAGTGACTGGAACAGGCAGGGAGAGAGAAAGAGAGAGAGAGAGAGACTCGGGCGCATGGGACAAGTCATCGGTAGACATAAGACCGTCGGACAAGGGGCGCTCTGCACGAGCACTCTAGCCGATGCCCGCACAGTGGGCCGGAGAGCTCGTCAGACGAGGTCCGGAGCCCTCGGCGCAACAAGCAACGGCTGTAGGCGGCGGCCTGTATGGGAGAGGAGCACGATCTGCAGCCGTGCTGGCACACTGTCTGCTCCGCATGTCTTTGCGAGCTCAGGCCTTCGGTGTGCCCCTCACTTCGCCACTCCCTGGAGCCCACGCGCCAGATCCTGGGCACTCCAGCGTAACTGCGTGGCACCTGCTCACCTGCCCTCCTGCCGCCAATCCTTCTGCGACGGCGTGCGGCCTGCACCGAGTGCGCACAGCTTGCATCGCTGTCTCTGGATGGAGAGGAGCTCGCCCGAACAAAACAACGGTACAATGTATACAGTCGGGCTTGATTGGAGACGACACGCGAGAGGACACAAGACCCTTCTGAGGGCTGCATTGCCACAGGAATTTAGAAGGCACGGGCCTCTAAAGACAGGACACAAGGGTACCCTTGACTTGCCAGGGTCGACCTAATCAAGGCCGACTGCAACATGAGAACGTGAGCGCCGAAGAGAAGGGGGTCTTACGTATGAGCACACGGGGACCTTACGCCAAGGCCTGCCTGGGCCGGCGGCGCGGCGAGCCGCCTGGAAACGAGGGCGCCCACGTGAAACCTTACACCTCAGGCAGGCGGCGTACACGCGACTACCCACGCGGTCGACCTCAACATCTGCCAATGAAAGAGGAACACGTTATGCTTCCTCGAAGTGCGACACGGCGGGCAGTGCTCGCGAGCATTGACCACGGCCCCCCCGTGCCGCTCACGACCTGGCCACACACCAAACAGACCAGCACAATACCCCCAAGGACGCCAAACGATAACATCCGAAACCTCCTCGATCCTCGATCCTCCCCCCCTCCCCGACACTCGACTTTCAAGAGGACGTGGTGACACCCCCACTGGTGGCCCCGCCTAGGAAGCAACTCCGAGAAGGTTTCCGTAACAACGCCTGCGGGCGACCGAGCCCGATTCAGGGACCACTAAGCCAAATTGGGCTGTATCACGCCTGGAATTACGCCGGAACGGCGGATCAAGCGGGATCAAGCGGGATTATGCCGGATTCGGCCAGTGTCCGACCACGGATCTACCAGCGCAGATGCTGAATGTAGTCTTCCAGGAGTTGCACCCTGCGGCTGGAAACTGTTGCTTAGCGTGTTGCCGCAGCGGCCCCAGCGACACGCTGTGCCCTGCAAGCGGATAGCGTGTCGCTCGGCTCCGCGGGGCGGGAGGCTCGGAAAAGCTCGGGACGTTGGAGCCTGGGGACTGGGGACGTGGATAGCGTGCCGCGCCAAAGCGTGGTAGGCCAGAACCGCGGAACGACACGCTATCCAAAATTTCCCGACCGTACCCCCCCTCGGCACTGCGCGACTCTCGACGGAGACACCGCGGCGATGCTGAATATGGCCTCCCAAGAGTTGCACCTCGCCACCCCGCAGCACTGCCTTCGGTCGCAACTCACGAGAGCCTCCTATACCATCCAGCTGGCTCTTGCGAGTTGTCGCTAAGTCGACGCTCACCGACGCTAAATCGGCGCTCTCGCATCGACTACCAGACGCTCGCGCACGCCAGTGCAATCTATAAGCCAAATCGCGAGGACAAACGAACCCCCCATGATTTGCGACCGAATTACTCATTATTAAATGGCCAGACCACCCCAACCCAACCCGATATCCCCAATTTCGGGTTGGGGGGCGTACGGCTTCCATCTGCCCCCCCTCAGGGAATGGAAGTCAACTTAGAGCTTTCGGGCTGGGTTGCGGTGGTTTGGTGGGTAGAAGAAGGCCCAGGGCGACACAAATAAACAGCCACAAATACTAGAACTCCCCATGTGGTTCCATCTCTTCTTGAGGTTCGTCTTCCCCTCCACTTCCGATATTTTCCGATGTTCTCCTGACGATGACTTGCGTCTGTGTGTTTTTGTCCCCTCCTGAAGGTAGCGAAGAACCTCTCTCGGCGCTGCCCGGCTCTCGAGGGAGACCCCGCGTGGACGCCCGGCCGCCGCGCCCGCTGCCTGCACCTCTCCTCCGCCGTCCTGCTCTCTCTCTCTCTCTGCCTTCCCCCGCTCCCCCCTCCTGCTCCTCCTCCTCCTCCTCCTCCTCTCCTCCTCCTCCTCCTCCTCCTCCTCCTCCCCTCCTGCTCTCTCACCCACCCGCCTCCCCCTCCTGCTCCTGCTCCTGCTCCTCCTCCTCCTCCTCCTCCTCCTCCTCCTCCTCCTCCTCCAACTCCTCTTCCTCATTCTCCTCCCGCTCCTCCTCCTCCTCCTCCTCCTCCTCCTCCTCCTCCGCATATTTCTAGCGCTCAGAGTCGGCGGCACCAGCCGCAAGGCCTTCCTAATATGGCCTCGCAGGAAGTGCAAGTCCAAACCCCCCTCGGCAGTGCCCGACTCTCGAAGGAGACCCCGCGTGGACGCCCAGCCGCCGCACCCGCTGCCCGCCCCTCGGGGGGGGCCTGGCGCAGCAGGGCTCCCAGCCATGCGAGGGCGGCAGCCGCGGCCCGGCGCGCCATCGGCGCAGCCGCGGCCCAGCGCGCCGCGGGGCCTCCAGCGCGCTCCGGCGCTGCAGGGCTCGAGCAGCCCACGAGAGGAGTTGTCTTCCAGATCGGCACAAACACGAGGCAGCAAGCCTGATCCCCAAGAGCTTGTCACTTCGGTGCAGCTGAGAGAGCGTGAACAAGAGAGGAGGAGGAGAGGGAGGAGGAGGAGGAGGAGGAGGAGGAGGAGGAGGAGGAGGAGGAAACGGCGGAGGCGAGGGGTATCAATAAGCCATAAAGTACATACCGCCAGCAGAGCAGGGCGGATCGACCAGCGGCGAGCAGCCCAAGAGAGGAAGAAGAGTCGTGGGGCCATTGCGGCGGCCTGGGAAGGCCCGTGCCATCTTGCTGCCTTTAGCGAATCCACGCCAGTCGACGCTAATCGACGCTAAATCGTCGCTAAGTCGGCGATGCTCTCATCGATTACCAGAGACGGGGGCGAATTCATTCGAACGACGGAATTGCGAGGACACAAACACAAGGCCCCCAGCGCACACTGGCGCCGCAAGGCTCGATCAGCCCAAGAACGAAAGACGAGTCGTGGGTTTGGTGTCTGCTCAGTGGGAGCCTGCATGGCCCGCTTCGCTGTCCGAGTTGGGCCGGATGTGGAACACATTTGGGACTGGATTTGGACCTGGTTTGGACCAGATTCGCCCCTTCACAAGAGAAACGAGAAGAACCAGAAGAACGAGGATGGGGGCGGGAAGCGGGAAGAGCAAGGAGGAGCAGGAGGACGGGCCCCATGCGGTCAATACCAGGAAACATCTGATTTCAATGTCGCTGTCAAGGGCCCAATGAACGGACATCGAACGTGAGGCCATTTTGCTTGCCTCGGGAAGCCCAGGAAGCTGTTTTGGAACGGTGTTGGGTAGTATGGGGCATGATCTAATGACCGTCGGCCCATGCCGCCATCGTGCTTGGGTATGAAGTAAGAGGCATCTTGGTTACCTCTTGGAGACTCTTAGGCTGCGTCTCAGGCGACGCAACCCCGACGCTTCATGTGGCTGGCGGCGCCGTACGGTCAGGAACTTTTGCTTAGCGTATCGCGGCGACGGCCTATGCAACACGCTATGCCCTGCAAGCGGATAGCGCGTCGCTCCGCGGAGTTCAAAGCGAATCTGGCCGGCGGAAGCGACGAGGACTCCGGCGGAGGCCCAAAATCATAGTCCATCCCCACTTATCTCTCCTCCTTCTTCTCCTCCCTCCTTCTTCTCCTCCTCCTCCTCCTCGTCCTCCTCCTCCTCCTCATCATCACCATCATCATCACCATCATCAGCATCATCATCATCACCATCACCATCATAAGCATCAGCATCATCATCGTCATCGTCATCGTCATCATCATCATCATCATCATCATCATCATCATCATCAGCATCGTCGTCATCATCATCATCATCATCATCATCAGCATCATCATCATCATCATCATCATAATCACCATCATCATCATCAACAACATCGTCGTCATACTCGTTATCATCGCCGTCATCAACAGCATCGTCGTCATCATCACCATCATCACCCTCATCATCATCTTTGTCATCATAACCACCATCATCACAATCATCATAATCATCATAATCATCATCAACATCATCATCAACATCAGCACCATCACACCACCATCATCATCATCATCCTCATCCTCCTCCTCCGCATCATCACTCAACATAATTATGATCAACATCACCATCATCATCATCATCATCATCATCATCATCATCATCACCACCACCATCATCATCATAATCATCGCGCGCAGCGGCCCTCCACTGGTCAGGCTTCTGCCGCAGAGATGCCTGTTCCTCATCCTCCTCCTCCTGATCCCTCCTCCTTCCTCCAACTCCGTCTACATTGGGTCTTCCTTCTTCCTCGGGCCTGCTCCTCATCCCTCTCTCTCTCTCTTGCTTTTCTCTCTCGCTCTCTGACTTGTTATAAATGAATATGTGTCTATATACATTCGTATTCATATGCGTATTCCAAACTCTTCATTTTTACAGAGCCGGGGACCCCCCCCGAACAGATTATGACCAGCCCAGGCGCCCAGTACGGCCCCAAAGAGGTTCAATACGGTTCCAAGACGGCCCAAGAGCGCTCCACGACTGCTCCAGATGGCTCCACGACAGTTCAAGATACTCCCAAAATGCTCAAAAACATCCCCCAAGTAGTCCCAAGGCGGTCCAAGAAGCCCACCCAAGACACCCTGAAGAGCCCCAAGAGAACGCCAAACAAGCCAAGACCATCGCACGTTTTGAATAAAGCGTACACTGTTAGCCATACTCACTTTGTCTTTTCCAAGGCTCCAGAACGCTTGAGGAGGCCCCCCACATCGCCCCAACACGGATCCAGCGGCCCCCACACAGCCCCAAGAGGGCCCCAAGACAGCCCCAGAGAGCCCCACGACGGCCCAATATAGCCCCAAGACGGCCCAAGAGAGCCCCGAGACAGCCCAAGCTGGCCCCAAGAGGCTCCCAAAAAAGCCCCAAGAGAGCCCCAAGAAGCCGCCAGCAGAGCCCCACGACGGCCAGAGCCCCCGACGCAGCCCACAAGGGCCCGAGACGGTCCAAAGGGCTCCACGACGGTCTAGAAAGGACTCGAAAAACATGCGAAGCCGCCCAATAACAAGGACTCTTCTCCCACTCCGTTTGTGCTCCCCCTTTTGTGCTCACGCCTGCTCGGGAAGCCGGGACCCCAAGAGGTCGGCGGATTCGGACCTATCAGTTTTGGACCCCTACACATGCGATTGGTTTGAATGTTCACATGGGGCTGTGCTTGGATTTCATATCACACGGATGGTTGTGAATTTTTACCGTGCACAAGCTCAAGTGCGCATGATGTTTGTCTTGGTTCTCCCATAAGTGGTGCTGTCTGAATTACTACTGGGAAGATGGTACGTCGCCCTTCACCTGCACTTTGTCTTCCCTCGCTCTCTCTCTCTCTCTCTCTCGCTCTTTCCCGCGCCCCGCCTGACGCCTACGCGCCGATCCTGAAGGGCCAGGGTGCATATCGCGAAGCACCAATGCAGTCTTGTATATATATGTATATATATGTATCACGTACAGACAGATGCTAACATACGCACCTCTCCGAGAGAGTAGAGCTTAGAAACGACTGCTTGTGAAGCCGTTCCGTTTGGGTTTTATTGTGTCAGGTCCTTGCGGTCGGGGCATCCTCATACTTCGGAACATCGGACGCACCCACACCTCACGCATGTCACGACGTCAAGGTCAAGCAACATAACGGGTTTTCCAGCAGTTTAGAATAAGCCTGTCGAAAGCACAATGGGTTTCACTGGTGTTGCACAGGATTATGATTGAGCCATTGGCTGTTCAATGGTTCCCTGTGTAGGCTTTCATCTGTGCCCTGTCTCCCTAATTAAAGCTGTGCGAAGCCTGCCTAGCTTTTAGCGGAAGAGGTTCGCTCTCGCCCCGCAGATCAAAAAACTGTGTAGGCTTTCATTCTTGCGTATCAAAACTTTCAGCACAACAAACGAGCAACGGTATTCCATGAGGCTGCACATAGCGGTATGAAAAAAGCGCAGGTTGCTCGATGACCCCAAGTGTACTTGTACAAGTGTGGCTTAACCTCAGACGCGCCATGCCCGCAGGAGTGCGTATCATCACGTTGTCTAATCGCAAGCTGGGGCAACCCCGTCGGTGGCGGTCCCGGTGCGTTTTCCGTATGAGCCTGGGCATGCACGTGCCACGTGTACTACGCGTGCCATCGAAGGTCGGACATCGTGCAGCCTCGAGCAACGCCTGCGCTTTCTTCTTAATCCTCCCTCGCACTCCCACTCTCCCTCATCCTCCGCCTGCCTAGTAGTATCCTCCGTTATCCTCCTCATCGTCCGTCTCCTCTCCCTGATCCTCCTCTTCCTCCACACAATGCTCCTCCTCCTCCTCCTCCTCCTTCTCCTCCTCTTCCTCCACCTCCCCCCCCCCAAACCGCCTCTCGGCAGTGGGAAGGCGGCCACTGGAGTGCAGTGACATCCAGTTTGTTGTTGCACGCTCTGGCGCCTCCTCCTCCTCCTCCTCCTCATTTTCCTCCTCTTCCTCCTCCTCCTCCTCATCATCATCATCACCAACAACATCATCATTACCCCCGTTCCTCTCCTACTGTTCGTTCTCCTCCCTCTCCTCATCTCCACCCCTTCAAACCCTGCGCCGCCTCTGATAATTCAGCTGAACAACACAACACCCACCTAGAACCCTACACGTCATATCCGCTCGCTTCCCTCCAACAAGTGCCAATAAGCACACGCAAGTCTACCCTTCATCCCTCCTCGTCCTCAGCTTCCTCCCCTTCCTCTCCTCCTGCTTCTGATCGTCCTCCTTGTTCGTTGTGCATCGTCCAGTCCCTCCTCCTCCCCGACGCAGAACGGAACAGGAGCGGTAGTCCCTTTTGGTCGTCTGCCTCTGGCAGGCCGCCTCCTGGGCCTCGGACGGCTCGGAGCCCCAATTAGACCCCGCGACGGCGACCGACGACAGCGACGACGACGCCTACGATGACGACGACGACGACGACGACGACGACGGCGACCGACAACGAAGAGCGACGACGAAGAGAACGACGACGAAGACGAAGACGACGACGACGACGACGACGACGAGACGAAAAACGGCGCCGAAGCAGCGCCCGGCGTGGAGGACAACCTGCAACGCCCGTGGTCTCAACTCTAACGGGGCCCTGGGACACACAAATAAATACACACAAATAAAAGGATTCCCCATATTTTCCAATATTTGTTGGATAGTCGTCGTCCCCCCCACTTCCCATATTTTCCCATATTTTCCTGCGGATCGACGATTAATTGTGTCTGTGTGTTTCTTCCCCTCCTGAAACTCGCCCTCCGAGGCCACGTGCGGGCCCCCAGGTTCGGGCGGGTGGCAGTGGAGGGTGGCCTACCAAGGGGAGCGAAGAGAAGGGCCCCAAGCGGGCCCTTTATTACCAGCCTCGAACGTATCCCTATCCCT